ATGTGTTGTGTCCTTGGGCAAGCCACTTCTTCCCAACTTTGCCTCTCTCCACCCAGGAGTATAAATGGGTACCGGCATAAGCTAGGAGTAACCTGCGATGGACTAGAATCCCATCCGGGGAAATATGAAAATTATCAGTTGTTTCTTGCCATGAAAACCGGAGATAAACGCCGGCCTAATGTGCCATATCGGCTCATGACCGACTTCACCTTCACTTACTCTGCTGATAATTCTCCAAAGGTTCAAATTAAGGACTTCAAGGCTTTCAACTTATCATTTTTTTGTCAATGTACAGTACTGACCGAATTACGAGAGCTAATCAACCAAACGATTGGAGAGTTCGTGCTGACGAGCATTTAATATCACTTATAGGCTCGTGTTGTCTGGACGGACTTAGACGCCTCGCACGTTTCATCGATTCTTCGATTCCGTGCTTCGGAAAATCATAGGAAAACAATTAAAGCTCTTTCATCTCAGAGAACGGCCACAGGAGCGTGCGATGTCTCAATGTCGTATATATCGTCACGTCTTGGTTTATCCGAATCAGCAATTATTAAAATATCCTTGGGTATCTCGTGTTTCTAACTAACGATAATGATGAAGAATTACGCTATTATGCTTTTGTAATTCAAAATTTAATAGGTAAAATGTTTCGCTCGAGCTCCAAACCTATAAGCATTTCAAGGCAAAATCAAGATTTTAACTTTTGTAATTGGCTGTATTAAGGACTGACTTTTCGGTAATATACTGAAACGTGCTGTCCATTTTCTGACAAAATGGCGATCCAAGAAATCAGATATAATTCCGTATACCAGATATCATTTTCAAGACAAACGACGTTTTCTTTAACAGCTTGGTAATTGTGATTATACACAAAAGGTGTGTTGCAGGAGGATTCGTTTTCTTCCTCATTCAGTCAAACAAAAGTGAATACGGTGGATTATAGCCCTCACATTCCAAAAAAATGTTCCATTTTTTTCATCAATTTGAAGATATTCTGCGCATTGGATCCTTGTTTCAATTCGTATCAATCCGATTCATATGAATAGCATTCAGAGAAATCCACGATGTGACAGACAAACGCTGTGATGTTTGCATCATCTATTAGTCACGTGCCTTCCTGATCGATCCCAAGGTTTCATTTTTTAAAAGTCCATTATGTCACTGTTCATAAGATGGAATTTTTGCGTCGGGGTGATGTGAATCAAATTAGGTTTTGCCCTTCACCGACTTATCAACACTGTATACTCAGTGTGTTACCTCCCGAGTGAAAGTTGGAAAAAATCGCTCCCTTGGAGGAGGTAACACACTGAGTATACAGTGTTTATACGTCAGTGAAGGGCAAAACCTAATTTATCAATTACGTCAATTCTTGTTGAGTAGCGACCTCTTTTTTCCGCTGTTTCGATGCCACTTTTTGGCCGACCATATGAAATTGATTGGGAAAAATCAAGAAAAAAAACAAGCGTTTTGAGAGAAACAATGTTACGAAAGGATATCCTGCAGTGTCATTGTCTTGCCAGATTTTGTTGTAATTAAGGGAATCGATATCTTTCTGGAGTCAAGGTTTCAGACCCACGCGCTGCTGAAGGACGATGAGACTAATTCTGGAGCCTTGAAGGTATCGTGATACCTATAATGAATCCCACAGAAGGGGCGGTGACGTCTACGGGGAAAGGGAGGGGGTGCTTGCCCCGTCTGGGGTAAAGTTTACGATTTGTGTAAACGAATCCGGTCAAAACATTTGGAAGACATTAGTTAGGCGGTATCACGCTTGAGGGGCGCGGGAATTCTTGGTGGCCGTTTGAAGGAGTACGGCGTGTGCTCGTGCAACCTGCGCGCAGGCGCATTGTACCCCAGTGTAAATGGTTCCTTATTTCGTAAATTGAAAACAATGAAGCTTTGTATAGTGTGTATACGGTGGGGATAGAAGTAGATTTTTGGGTTGGAAACAATCTCCATTTGTGATTTTCTTTTTAAATTTATTTATATCTTCTTGGTAATGAAACCAAGGATTCCTCAAAAGTGTCCTATAGGCACTGTGGCTCGCAAGCCTGAAGAAGCCTAGAGAGGAGACAATGAAAAAGAAATCACAGTTTTAGAGGTGGGAGGAAAACCCCAGAAGAATATTCTGGGGGAAACCCACGTAATCAGGTAGGGACTGAAAACCCAATCCACATGTGGAGTAGGACAGGAATCGAACCCGGGCGACAGATGTGGAAGGCGAGGACAGCCTACCACTGCGCCAACCTGACTCCCTAAAAGGAGGTTCGGAAAAGCTCTCTGCATGAAGAAAGTTTTGAGACCTTATTGTTGTCTAAATAGTGTTGTCAAGATTGTACATTTGTCTCGTTTTTTCCTGAATTTTTTTTCTGGATGGTGTTTTGCGATTCCTTAATCATGGCCACTGGTACCAGCTCAACTCGTCCGTCATCACGACAGAAACATATGGTGGAAAGTCATAGTGCATACAACCAGAAGCGTCACATGCGTTAATCCTGCAGAGTGATAGCATATGCCAGCGCAGATGTCAATCTGCTCAACAGAAGCTATTGGCTCTCGATACTAAGACGTAAACACCTTGCACTCCATCCGTTCTAGACGCCTTTCTCTCCTCCACTTTTTTTTATTTCTTGCTATTCCTGCGTGGTCGGGTATCTCACTCTAGATTGCATTGATGGGGATGGTTCGGATCGGGTTTCCGGCTCGCCGTCCCACGCTAGTAATTGCCAACACAGGGGAAATACCTCCGTCCAATTCCATTTATGTGTTTTGCCACCCCCCCCCCCCCTCCACCGACCAAATCAACGCAGGCTAAGCCTTTAAGACTGGCCAGAGATATTGAACCCAAGTGCGGATGGCTCTTGACACTGGTCCGTGAGACGAGCCTTTCTTTTCATTTCTTTGGCTGTAAATTGCTTCATTCGGTTTGTTTATATTACCCTGCTGTGGCTAATAACATTTCTTTCCTTCACTCGGGTCCTTCAAGTTGTCAAAAAACAGGTGTCGCTGTTTTAGAAAATTACTGAACAGAAGCTTTTTCGAGTTGAAGTAAACTGTCTCGCAGCTCTGAAATGAGTTTTCATACATTTCTGCTGAGGTGTTGACAGGAATTAATTTCGGGGGTAATTCTATATCATTTGTAATGACTGTTGAAATAACAAGAAGAAAACAAATCTAAAAATTAAATGTTCTTGGTAAACACTTCAAAATCAATAATTCTTAATAAATCTGAGCTAACATTAACTGTGCTTAGATGCGAACCAATATAGCGGAATTGACAAATTCAATTTCCTCAAAGGGGCTTTAAAACAATTGCAGAAACACATCAGCAAACTTGCAAAGATTTCTTATAATGTAAAATATACTTGTAAGAAAACTTCTTCGAATTTTCATCCAGAGTCACCACCATTCTATGTGCAAAGTATTTAGAAATACGGCGATTTGAACGGAAAAAAGTGTCATATCGACGTGTCTACTGTGTGTCGTTCGAGATGTTCCGACGACCTGGAGTTTTTGAGTTCTCCAACTTACACCGAAAGTCTACCAAAACCATTCCGTTATACCGCTTCGACGAAAGTTAGAACGCCGTGTACACGACTACCCAAAGACTCACAGAACATACGCAGACCATTTGTCGTAATCATTTTCTTTTATTAACCAAATTTAATATTCGTTTCCGTTTAAATTTCACTGTTGGTCATCCACAAGCTTTTGATAAAATAAATGCATTACGTTAGCATATCTCACTCAATAATATCAAACTGAATTTACGGACTTCAATGATAATAATTGTCGTCGAAGAAATTCAATTAAATTACGCTAACACTTTTAAGGACAATTTTTTTACATTTCGACAACAAGTTCTTATTTTAGCGGGACAAACCTCACCTCTACACTTTGCACTAACTATATCGACTTTCACTGGAATGTATATAATTAAGTCCATTATTTTTGTGCGTATCAAGCACGGAGTCGCTACTATAACGAGGCAGTCAAATTCAACAAAGAAATGTTACGCACGAGTCAATTTGGTTCCAGATTTTGTTTACTTCATATTCTACAATAACGTATAGTGCGTGCAGATCATTATAATATTGTGCCAAAATTAATCTCAAACTTTAATTTTATTTACATTTTTTTGCACTTGATAACTCAAGGCGGATCCTAATTTATATAACATTAATATGGTTTCCCTCCGACATTACTTAATGAAATTCTGCTGCTACAACGTAATGTCTGTTCGTTTATCTGTGAGGGTGGGTCGAGGTTGATATCTGTGTCTTACGCAATGGTGAAACCTAACAAGCTTCGCTTTTTTGGTGATTTTTCCCCAAGGAAGTGTTTATTTCACATTAGGCCTATAACTGCCTCGGAAATATTAATCTACGATACATTTATTTCATTTGTGGTCTTTGCTTTAAAATATTTAATGCATCCAAGGGCGTAAATCCCCCGGGGTATGGGCCATCGGATCATCCCCAGATTTGCTTGATGAGAAACAAAGAAATGACGATAATAAGGTTATCTTGTTACTTTCCGATAGTCTAAAGGTATTACATAGTTCAGGAAATCGGAGAGCAGTATATAAAAGCTTTATATGCGTCATTTTGCGGAAAGGTTACGGGACGTAAACGAACAGCTTGCATAAGATGTACAATTGTAGCATAAACAGTACTATACCCTGTAGTGTCACGTGTTGTCCAGCCCCCCTCCCCCATCCCCCAGCTTTTCGAACTTCCACGGCCGGGCAATTTTAGGACTTTGGGTCATCACCCATCAACGGCGGATCAAAAAAATTCACGTGGCAAAAGAAAAGCCACTGCTAAAAAAAATAGGTTAAAGTGGCCAAAAATTGTCTCAGACTGCACCACAGAGCATCTAGAAACCAAAGATTTTCCGGGGCCCTTAATCGGGCTCCGAACCCCACGCCGTACATTTTGGAATCAGCATTTTTTTGAGGGGGGGGATTTTTGGCCCCCCCCCAAAAAAATTGTGTTCTGGATCCGCCCTTGTCCCCCCCCCCCCCCTCGCCAACACGGATTTACGCCACTGAATGCATCTAACAGCCGTTGGGGCGGGTGGTTTTACGTGCTACTGTGTTTCACACTGATTAGTTCAGGTTAAAACTTGTAAAAAAAAAAAAAAAATGGTAACGTAATATCACTCATAAAAGATTAAATTTAGGTTAATGGCAGTGTCCTGTTAATTCAAAAGAAATATGTAATTAAGCTAAATATTGTCTGTTTCTTACTTTCGATATCATCTATTAGGTGCAGAGCTGACATTTTGTTCAGTGTGTTCACAGTGCGAAAAATCAGACGGTGCACGAAAAGCTATCAATATTTGTCATTTCACAACTACATTAATCAGCGTTTGTTTTTAGCAGGCACTATTATCATTAATTTTACCTTGATTAATTTAATCCCATTTTCAATTGCCAGAACCCAGACATTAAACCAAACACGAAGTCATGAAATGGTATGAACACCCAAACAAAAACTAAACCTACATCAAATTGAGACCGTATACTTAAAGAAAAAAAGGAAATATTTGGTTGTCCATAATTAGTGTCACAATGATCTTTCTCGGTTTGAAAGACACACGAACGCGTTCGGTTTCGCAGATGAAACGAATGTAAAACCCAAAGCAAGAGTCACCATTGCACATTGATCATTTTGTGTATTGTAGCTAGTAATTATAACGTCCTTTTTTTAAAGTGTCAGTTTTTCCCCCTTAATCTTCACTCCGTAGTTGACTTAATATCTCACTGACCGCTGCGTCGGTCCCGTCGTCTCGCTTGCCGAACGGCAGGCCGGTGTGGTAGCCTCTCCGCTCCATCGCAGTGCCTTCCTCCTCGTCCGAACGCTTCCCGAACGGCAAAGCGCTGTGGTAACCCCGCTTGCCGAACGGCAAGGCGGTGTGTATCCGTTTGCCGAACATCAGGGCCGAGTTGAAACCCCTCCTCTCCATCAAGGCGTCCTGCTCGGCCTCTTCGTCGTCGCGTTTACCGAAGGGGAGGGCGCTGTGCAGTCCCCGTCTGTCCATGGCTGTTCTCTTGCCGAAGGGTAAGGCGGAATGGAAAGCTCTTCGCTCTACTGCGGCATCAGTGTCTGCTTCGTCGGCTCGCTTGCCGTACGTCAGAGCCGAGTGAAACACGGGCGAACCGGCGGGTCGCTTGGCACCCGTCTGAAAAACAAAAGAACGAATAAAAACAGTGAATAAACACTCAAAGTAAACAAAATCCCATAGAGCTGTGGACCCCATGCACAAACACCAGATGGCGCTGTTTAGCCTGCTCAAAAAGAGTAGTTGGTTAAGGGAAGTGCGCGCGCGTACATCGGCTCTAGCGCGTGCAACGCGCAGTACGCCTATAACGGGAGACTTTTAGGACGCTTGGTGGCAGCAAACACAACAGCCCTTTTTAAGTTGTTTACGTCATTTTCAGCTAATGTGCGCATGTTCACATGACGTAAACAATTTAAAAGGACCGGTATGTTTGCTGCCACCAATCGTCTCAAAAGTCTCCCATTACTTTAGTGTCCTATATGTATTTAGGATGCATGTTTTACAACTTTTTCTTACTTCACTTGCCGCGCGCGCACAACGGCTACACCGTTTCACATTTCGTGCAACCGATATCCTAAATTCAATAAAAACATGGGGGAAAAATTGAATAAAAACACGCGGGAAAGAACATGAATAAAAACACGCCAGTAGAAAATAGTCCATAAAGTTAGGCCATCAACGGCAACGCGAGATGCGATCAAGCAAAATTACTTGCTACACATCTTGCAGTTAAGTACTGAATCTTATTTTCCGTACACATTTCACAAAGTTTGAACATTTCACCGGACAAGCACAGTTAACTGTAGAATATGTTTTCACGTAGCCAGCAATCCCTTTAGAAAAATGACATGGTGGCCTACAATCTCGCTCTCTCCCTAGAGAGTATAGATTCGACAATTAAATTCTCGACAAAATTGACCTCCACTGCCCCTCCAGACACATATGCAGTGTATATATACCATCGTTTCTGACAACAATTTCTGTAATTTGACCCTAAAATCATTATTGCAATATCACATCAACCTCGACCCCGACCTTTTAAAATTTTGAGTATGATAAAAAAAGAAAAAAACAAGCGACATGTCAAAAGTGATAATTCCACACAGCCCACTACTATACTAGCCTCCAATTAAGACAGATATTTCCATTTTCTGTCATGATTCGGCGAGAAAATGCAAAAAAAAAAAAAAACACCTAACTTTTTATCACTGGCGCGTGAAGATTTAATAAAGCAAGGACGAGTGAATCGAGTGGACTGTACAGTCCTTAAAAATTGTCGCCTTTCCTGTAAAAAAAAATCCGCTCGTTAGTCACTTCGTTCATTCACTTGCAACGAGGTGATTATTAAATACTATTCATCACAAACCGTAGTTCCGTGTGTCATCCCACATATACATCAAAAAAATTCCCAATTATTGAATTTTTCTTTTGTATGTTTCTCTGCCGGATATGGCCCCGAGACAATGGCAGATTGCTTATTAACGAACTCTGATGACACCAAAATAGCCGCCTACCTTTTCAACGAACGTTCATGAACACTTCATTACTTCGTGCACTGAGGAAGGAGGCAGATCCTTTTAGCTAGTGAAAGACACAATCCTATCAACTAATCGCCCTGAACAGCACACAAATGCCAGCCGCCTTCTCCGTGCATTGACTAAATGCTCCCGGGAGATCATTCGATAATTTTATTTTTCTGCTGCTTATAGAGTAATACGTTCACGCAGCACCCAATACCAATACATCTTCTACGTTATTGAAAAGATCAAATGAAATATCGCTGCAAACTTCAAGCCATTCTTTTTTATGTTTCAGCATCTACATGACATAATGTTACAATAATTTTAAAAATTCTTTATTACGTTATTTGGGCAAGCGCGTTCCTCCTTTAAAAAAAATCCGAGTGGTTGCGTGACTAAAGCAGAAAAAAATATTATCGTCTTCCTTCTAAGAGCAAAAGGTGTCTTAATTAACGCAAGGCGGTATCAAAATTTCCTGTTTTAGAGGAAATTAAACAGTTGTTTTCGCATACGTTTCGTGCAAATGCTTGCTCTTTATAATGCCCAAATTAACTCAATCCTCTTCAACTTGTGGTCTTAACCAGTGATTAGAAGCCAATTTTAAGGTTTTGTGTAAACGGCGATGACGTCAAAACGTAATTCACAGCTATACTGTTTGTGGGCTACAAGTTTTGATAATTAAATTCCAAGTTTCCCCCGTAGAAAATAGCCATTAAACCGAATTAATATACTTTCAATCGTTTCATTTCCCGAAGCTAGTTGCATCTTTGTTTATTTGTCTCAAAAAGTACTTTCACGTTATCTAAACTTGTTGGACACTACACCGGACTTTACTCTCAACGTCAACGAAAAATTTCAACAAACTTCTGCACTGATGACAACATTACTCCGCAAAACTCGTGTTAAAAACAATTGCATTTCACCCAGGATATTTTACTTTCTATGAGCAAAAAAATCACCGTTGCTCACAAATGTTTTAAACATAATAATTCTGCAAAGTGGTAGTTGCCTTCAGTTACCAGAACTGTAAGCTAAGCCGTACACCTCGTTACTGCCGTCAAGGAGGTTATGTTGCAACTGATTTGCTTAGCTTGTTGGTTGGTTGGTTTGTCTGTAAGCAAGATAACTCCAAAAGTTATCGACGGATTTGCATGAAAAAAAAATAAGGAGTGGTCCTTGAAAGTAAAAATTGATTAGATTTTGGAAGTGATCCGGATCTGGGTCTGGATCCTGGATTTGTTTCTAAAGGATTCTTCATCTGTTATGCGAGTATTTCTTTTGGGTTTACTGACAATATGGCGGGGAATTGTTTAACCTTGGCGAAGGTTTGTGCTCTCTGAGTACTTTCTATTTTTATATTTGATCAATACTGTCCAAAGTAAAAACAACAAACAAACAAAAACAAGAAAAACACAGACGGTGAAGTGGCTTTGTCCAGCTCTTGAGACGGCAGCCAATAACTCTTGAAACGGTTTATATTATAAACCCTGACCAGACCATTTTTCCATATCCTCCGGTGAAATTCAGATTCTACTTATTCTCCATCAACCGGAACCTCCTTGTCTAATATCGCTCCCTCTGCCCACACCTCCTTCCCGCCCCTCCCGCCTGCCTGCCTGGCTCTCACCCGGCTGATGACTTCTTGAGACGCACGGCCAGTCACATCAGTAAGGAATCAAGGCTCTCCCTCTCTCTGTCGAGGCAGGAAACCGGGAGATCACACCCTCAGGGCCTGGTGAGAGAGGAGATTATTCCCCTCCTAATGGAATCGCCACTCGGCGAGCAAAGACAGACACAAGACAAACTGGAATCACGGTTCACTGCAAACTGACTGCCAAGTTGCATCTCGTCTTGTGTGTTGATGGCGTGGTGAATTAAGACGGAGAAAGAAGTTTTCAATTTGACTGTCTCGAGGGTCACTTTTAAAATAATCGCATTTCTCATACTTGAATAATGTCTCCGCTATGCTGCAGTGGATTGAAAATGTTTACCATTTTCATCGACAAAGTGCTAAAAACATTAATTTTACCTATAAGTAAACTTTGTATCAACTAGCCGGTATCTTAAAGGTAGAGTCCATCATTTGTAATTTGTGCATTTTGTTCGTTTGAAGCAACAAAAAAGTTCAAAATCTAATGAAGGATACTGAGCAACTAACCTGATGAAGTTTCAGCTAAGCTTCAGCTGTACATTCTGAGAAAAACAGCATTCTAAGATCTCAATTTCAAATCAAAAGTTGCTGAATCATGTTTTTGAATTGTTTTGAATTGCAACTATACGCGACGTCGCGCACTGATCCGACGAATTATAACAACCGCGCGCGCGTGTGCGTCGTTCGAATACTTGTGCGCGCTGCGCTGAATAACAAAACGAACTACTAATTTAAATTTTCCTACGGTGCTTCTTAAGAATCACCGTTGGAAATGCCTTCTTTCGTTGATTACTTCAAAATGACAGCTTCCCAGAAAGAATAATTTCACAGGGAGTTTAGTCTCCTTACTATCTTTCAACCAAGTTAGTTTTTCAACAATAATTACGCCAGTTACTTTTCGGATGGCTGCAAATGATGGACTCTACCTTTAAGAAAGCGACCTTCGCAGACCACAACACTCTAAAAAAAAAATGATAAAAAAAATAATCAAAAGCCGTAAGATGTTGCACGTGGAATCAATAATATTACTTTATCAATGAAATATAGTTTTCGTCTTGGTTTTTTAAAAAATAAATATAGCTGTTACACGGCATATTTGATTTCTTAACAAAGACCTTCATCGAGTCGGAGATTTTTTAACCAAATTCTCCCCATAAATTGATGACAAAAATGTTAACTCATGGAAACATTTGTGAATTTCCCAACATCACGGGAAGCCATTAAAAATAGATCAATCTTCGAGATCCTATAATTCTCGCCCCAATTTTGAAGTTTCCTTGAAGAAAAAAAACGACGACAGAAACGATATCATCCTCGATAAAGGAAAACTGGGAGTTCCTGTCTGAAGCATAACTTACAGTCCCGATCCCCCACGCTAGGCCTCGTTTTTGCACCGCCAATTCTGTACCGTCGCCTCAGGCGCGTCTTTCCAGCGCGCACGTATACCCTGATCCCCATCTTGATCAAATTTGAAACGCGAGAGATCACCCACCGTTAATGGCGTTATTACTCAGTGCACCATTCGCCGAAATCGATGGTGCACGCCTAATCCTACCTGTTGAAGATGATGATGATTTTTTTACCTCTTTCGCGAGAGGAACAACTTCGATATCTTTTCACGCCTTCGTCTGTTGACGGCTGTTTCATAAATTGATATGCGCCTCTTCAGCTGTTTACGAATAACTTCCGTACCGTTATTTGGTAATAAATTGCAATGTCTTTTAACCCTTTATAACCAATATACTTCCTCAGGACACAACCAAAAACAATCTAAATATAAATTTTATTACAGTTCTTCACTCAAATTTGAAGCATACATGAACCAGCCGTCTGTGGCGTTTTGAAGTGAAAATCATTGGAGATGGGGTGCAATAGATAAAGGCTTTGCGCATGGAATATTGTTCCAATATCGCAAGACAAGCTGCAGGGAAAGTTATCCCTCCTCCAAG